ATGGCAGACTCCTTACATAATGCGCCTATAGTCCTCGACAACGGATCTGGCACTATTCGAGCCGGTTTCGCAGGCGATGATCTACCAAAATGTTACTTTCCTTCGTGGGTTGGTCGACCGAAGCATCTGAGAGTCCTCGCGGGTGCCCTCGAGGGCGAGGTATTCATAGGACAAAAGGCCTCCACGGAATTGAGAGGGCTGCTCAAAATTCGGTATCCCCTCGAGCATGGTATTGTCACCGACTGGGACGATATGGAGAGGATTTGGGAGTATGTTTACGGTGAAGGATTGAAGACTCTCAGCGAAGAGGTTTGTTGCTCAAGTGCCTAGCCGTGCAATTGTACTGACATGTTGCAGCATCCCGTTCTATTGACGGAACCGCCTTTGAATCCCCGAAGCAATCGCGACACGGCCGCCCAGATCCTCTTCGAGACATTCAACGTCCCCGCACTCCACACATCTATCCAAGCCGTGCTATCACTATATGCCAGTGGCCGAACGACCGGTATTGTTCTCGACTCTGGTGACGGTGTTTCTCATGCTGTACCTGTTTACGAGGGTTTTGCCATGCCCAGCAGTATTCGCCGAATTGACGTGGCAGGCCGAGACGTGACCGAGTACATGCAGACGTTGCTACGGAAGAGTGGATATGTCTTTCACACGAGTGCTGAGAAGGAAGTCGTGAGGTTAATCAAGGAGAGCGTATCTTATGTTGCTCATGATCCACGGAAAGAGGAGAGGGATTGGGTCGGCGTGAAGCCCAATGAGAGCAAGTTTGCCGAATACGTGCTTCCAGACGGCTTCAAGCTCAAGGTGAGACTCTTTGTTCTCTACTCAATGTTTGGATACGCTAACATGTTGAAGATTGGTGCGGAACGCTTCAGAGCACCCGAAATTCTCTTCGACCCCGAGATTATCGGCCTCGAATATCCTGGTGTACACCAGATTGTCGTTGATGCTATCAACCGAACAGATCTCGACCTGCGAAAATCTTTGTACAGCAACATTGTGCTCTCTGGAGGCAGCACATTGACAAAGGGCTTCGGTGACCGTCTTCTGACAGAGCTGCAAAAACTGGCCGTCAAGGATATGAGGATCAAGATCTTTGCGCCACCAGAGAGAAAGTACTCTACCTGGATTGGAGGCAGTATTCTAGCTGGATTGAGTACTTTCCGAAAGGTCAGTGATGTCACCGTGCTTCCTTTCATTACTATACTGACGTGTGATAGATGTGGGTGAGCATTGACGACTGGCATGAGAACCCCGATATTATCCATACCAAGTTCACGTAAGCATGGCGTATGCGTGTCAGCCTTTGACTTCGCATCTTGGAGATGCAGCCATAACGACGAAACAATCGGACATGAACATGCCTGAGCTCATCGACACTGATTCTTTTCGCCGTCTGGACCTTTATGATCGAGATGACCTTGACCTTTGTGATCGCAAGCCCTCACCCCTAACCAACCAACCAACCCCCTTTGACGCGCTGCTGTTGTTGATAGAGCGATGCAGAAGCCTTGCATGGAACGGAAGATTTAGTGCTGTTTGGTGTGTAGAGACACCAGTGCAGTTGTAGACAACCTTTGCAAGATAGAGGAAGCCTAATGATACCCTGATGTGTTGAGATTGTGTTTAGCTTTGTGAAGTTGTTCTCCCAACCAAGTGTCTCTGTCTTTGAGTCATGTTATATATAAGTAGACGCAAGTAAATCTAGGGCTTCTGGTCCGATAAAATATTTCTTGTTCTCTGAGGACATGCAAGTCACGAGTGTAAGGAGGAGGAGGAGGAGTAATAAGTAGTAATGGTTTTATAATAGAAAAGAGCTGCGCTCGGGGGTATATAAATCTTCACCAGAAACAAACATCATACAGGCAAAGCAAGAGTAGAAGGGCAGTTTCATATCGCCCCCCTCAACTGTCAGTGCCAACCGTACATCCGGGGTATAATCGTCAACCCATTTGCTCTGAGGTCCCCATTATATTTTGGTCCAAATGTCAAATCCCAACAACGCCAGTCGCTAATTCATATCTTTTCGTACACAAACACCCCCACTCGTTGTTTTTGTTTCTTATGTTGTTCAGTCTCGGCTGAAAGTGCTGCTAACACGAGCCCAGAGCTTCGACTTGGAGCTCATGGAGCTGCTGTCGCTAGCATCAGAGCCGGCATCGCTATCCTTGCGATGGAAGACATTGCCAGCACCGCCGATGCCGACATGTCCAGCTGCCATTTGGTCACGGGCAGCAATGCGGTCGTACTCGTCGTCGAGAGATACAGAGGGCTGCTCACTTGCGCGGTGGACGTTGCCAGCTCCGCCGATGCCACTGAAGAAGCGGCGAGAGGGGGTGGTAGTAGTGGTTGTGCTGGAGGTCACGACGGTGCGGTTTGATGAGGAGTTTGATGAGGAGGATGATGGGGTGTCCTTTGAGGCACGAGAGATGTTGCCGTAACCGCCGCGGCCGGAACGTACGAAGACGTTTGTGGAGGGGGAGGGCTCAGTGAGGATGTAGCTGGGCATTGTTGTGTAAGTGAGGTGGGTTGTAAGTTGTGATGAGTTCTTGGTGTTGAGGATGAGAAGAGGATATGATTGATTCAATGTCAAGTTGTAGATTGGATTGTCAAGAGTAAGTAGAGCTTGAGAAGAGAAAGAGAGGTTGTCATGATGGGAAGAGCTTGGGTAGTTATACCACGACAGTACTCAAGCTTATTCAAGGGGGGCCACAGCACAACCTTACCTTGACCTACTACTAATGTACCTTACCTCCAGCCAAGGCAAGCCAAACAAACAAACTCAGCACAACAAACGCAATTGCTGATACTCTTTTAAGCTCACCCCACAAATAGACCCATCTTTAGATTTTTTTTTTTCTTCTCATCCTTCTCTCTTGTTCCTTCGCTTCTCCCCGCATTTTAGATCGTCAATGTCAATACCCGCCACTCCCTCCCTGATTCCATAAGTTATGTAGCCGCCAACAGGAGACGACGTGATCGCCAGTGCCCATTCTAGGAACCTCAAGGCAAAAAGTCAGAGCTTTTTTCTCGTCTCCTGACATTCTTGGTCAATTGCGCTTTGCAGTTAACGGCAAAGCACTGTGCGTGTGATCCAAAGGCTGTGGACTGTTCCGTGCCCAGAGAAATGGCGCTGTCACGCGGTCCCCCCAGATTTTTAACCAATTTGTGTTCCTGGATCGTCTAGAGTTTTTAGTATGTAAGAATTACCCCATAGAAATGCACTACCCCCGATCTATTGGCCAATGCAGGGATGCGAGGATTCACGACTAGGACGTCTTGGAGTTAGCGTCATCTTGCAAGACGACGACGTGCTTTGGATATTGGATATGACAACCCAGACCCAGACTCAGACCCAGATAATTCCTTGCAATTTTGCCTTGTGATGTCGTCGTCATGAGGGGGACCGTACAAGTAAGTCCAAGTGTAACAGAACACGTTGTCAATGGGACTCTGTCATTGAATGGGGCCTTTTCGTGGTGAGACCTTGGGACTCTGAGACAGGTCCATCAGGCGATCAACAGACTCCAAGCCATGCATCGTGAGTTTGGCTTCTGCAGAACAGTTGGCTATGACAGCTCTCTACTTCAGAAACACAAATATGACCTCAGTCTGATGTGCCAACACCCAAGGAAAGTGACCATATCTTGATTCAGCATCTTTGGAGACAACCAGGCTAGCAACGGCCACTCCCGCCTCAGATCTAGGTTGTGTCCGTCAACTCTTAACTCAACAATGGTGTTTCTCATTTTCGAGACCCAATTCCCATCTTTTACGAGATAGAAACGTTGACATCCTATCGTCTTACCAACTTGTGCTATGCTTGCTCTGACCGAGACCGAGATCTCGAAGCTCCCCATGTTATTAGATCCGAGCCCTGCTTGGCCGACGTCTCTTCCCCAGATCTTGTTCCAAAACGGATATGCTCCATCTGAATAGACTGTTCTGCAAGTAAAAATAGACATGGCGAGTAAGAGAGCAGCTCCTCAACACCGCACATCCCGACTTTCCGAGTATTCCGAAAATGTCGCTTATACTGTCCAATTTTGAGGTGCTTCGTAAAGTAGAGCGTCTTCGTTCTCCTCATGTATTTACGTCTTTCAACATAAACATGAATGTCGTCTTGATGTGGCATGTTACTGTCGTTCCCAAGTGACACTAGCCATCGTATAGCCGGTCATGTGCCAGTTTGTCAACACCTCTGGAGATCTTCGAGAAACAAAGTTTCACCCCACTGGGACCTCACGATGATGCTTTCCAACGACAGCTGGTATTGGATTCGAAGACGCAGTCATCGTTCTTTCAAGGCTTCTCCCGTGTTATAAGACCTGTTAGGAGAAAGACAGTTCGTCTCAGTCCCACACAATGACACAATGACACAACCCCATAACCAATCATACCAAGCCCGAACCATTGGCGTTTCAAGGTGACCGTTGAAGCATCAAGTCATCTTTTCATACCGCCTCCGTTTCATGACAGTGTTCGAATTGCCGAGTATCCAGAAGCGAGATGTCCTATGGAGATGATCATGATCTGCGCACGCACGGGCAAAACATACCGACTTTTGTCAAACTCTATTGTGCTGTAATGTCAGTTCTACGAGTATGACACAGTTTCTCAAATTGAACCCGCGTAGTCATGACGAAAATCTATCAACATTTGAGTAAATGCTCAATTCGGCCAATCAGACCATGTTGTTGCTGTGCTTGTGTCGGCCGTCAGCTATATAGCAAGCATTTGGGCCTTTGAGCATTGGTAGAATTGTATGAATACTCTCACGACGCCGCAGTTGCAAGGCAAAGAGTAAATGGTAAAACATTATAACATTTAGAGAATAGATATCCAGCCTACCAGGCTATTTAGGTCAAGTATACTCCATCCAACGCCCCAGAGATCATTTCTTCAGATTCCAAATACAAGGCTGCAAAAGAAGCACAATTGTGCATGCCGGACTTCGTCTTTCGGCATATTCAGAAATCGAGAAAGATCCTCTATTTGCCCATGCTCATCCAGCCAAAGATGCCGCATGCGAAGGACAGAACCAAGAAAGTGATGATACCAGCACCAGCCCTGTCTGCAGTGGTCAAAGGCTTGTAGGTTCTATCAATCTTGCCGTCTCCGACGTTGCCGGCGTTGGGGTTACCCTTGGAGGTACCTCCAGACTTAGCCGTGACAGGAGGAGGAGTGTTCTCCATGAGCAGAGACGAAACAGCAGCAAGGACGTTCATCTGCTGACCAGCACCTGTCTTGCCATCATAGACACCGCTGGCCCACTTAAAGCCGCAAGTACGCTTGTTGTCTCCTCCAGTGCATTGCTTGATGGCAGCTTCGGTTGATGTCTGGAGGACAGGAAGGATCTTTGGCTTGATGAAGGGAGCGAGATGTGTTGCCTGGGACATCCAGCGGTGGACGTAGCCCTTGAAAGAGTACATATCGGTAGTGCAGGTGCCGTGGTCCTCGCACGCAATCTCGACAGCGATATCCTTGGGGAAGAAGTTGCTGATAGTAGCGTCGACCAATTTGTCTAAACGGTCCTTCCATTTTTGCTCACCATCGGTCTAAAGAAGTCAGTGAACTGTCATTAGTATCATGTTTAGGCCGACTTACATAGTTGTACATGAAAGCAGCGCCTTGGAGGAAGACGCCAGAGTTATAAGAGAACTGAGCCTTGTTGATATCGGTACAGTTTGTTCCGACATGAGCACCGTCATAAATCTTATAAGTTTCGGGGTCAAGGAAACCAACGCCCTCCACCCAGTCCCATGTCTTCTCAGCCCAGTCGGAATAAGTCTTGTTGCCAGTGTAGCGAGCAAGTCGGGCACCCAGGTTGAAGAAGCAACCATTAGCAATACCTTTGAAAAGTTAGTACAGAACCGATCAAGGTAGATATCTCAACAGGAGTGCTGACTGTTTTTGTAATCGTAACCGTTGTTAGTTCGAGGAATTTGCCATCGAAGGCCACCGTTGCAAGTGCTGTCATGTCGATCGGGGTTGGCCTGAGTGTTGAAAACGGCCTGGGCGAGGGCAAGCCATCCAGGCTGGTCTGAAGCAGGGTTGGGGAAGTCCAGCTCAGCAGCCAACATGGCAGACATTCCCCAGAAACCTTGATCGTCGTTTCCGAGGGACAGAGTAACGTTGGCAGGTTGGTAGTCCTGATCATCGCCGACTTGGAACTGCATGGCCTGCATCACCACTTTGTTGTAGGTAGAATCGCCGGTGCACTTCCAGTAATCCATATAAGTCCCCCACATAGCACCGCCTTCCCACCAGTAGTAGTCACCATTGGGGGGAGGACCAGGTAGAATACCAGGAATACCGCCAGGGTCGTCTCCGTGGTAGTATGTGATCAAGTCAGCGGCGAGTTGCTTGGCTGATTTCTTGATGTCGGCTGTTGCTAAAGTCAATGTCTGTTTACCTGTGAGCCAACCGTTGGGGGGGGGCCGCACCTGTGGATGCAATGCTATAAGGCGACTGGGCGTTAACGAAACCCGTTGAAGCCAAAAGCGCAACGGCGCCGGTTGAGAAAATGGACTTCATCGTGGGCGAATGCAAGTGAAATAAAGCGAGCGAGATTGAGAGCGAGCGATGGGCAATCGACGGGAACGAGCGGTAGACGCGCCCAGCGAGGGCTTGGTCGAAATATCGATAAAGCTGTGAAATTTATCGTAAAACAGACCGAGCAGTCAAAGAGTGTGAGTCGATCTGACGGATTAAAAAGACAAACGGTCGCCGTAAAGTCTGCGATGAATCGATGTTGGTGAAGAAGTCAAAGTGCCAAGGAAAAGAAATGGAAACGGGCGACGGGGGTTAATGCGCGCGTTAGTTAGTAGGAATAGGTAGTAAGGTACATGCATGCAGAAGCGTGCAATGCAATTAAAAGGGAGCGAGAGAGGGAGGGAGGGAGAAACAGAGGCTCGAACCAATGAGATTGACGGTGGATCGCGAAGAAGGAGGGTGACACGAGCTGGTGAGTGGCTCAAACGGAGTGAGCGAGACCCGGGAACCGTCACATTAGCGGCGTCAGGTACCTATTTTTGCTGCGATGGGGTGGGCGGGCAGCATGATTACGCATTGATACGAAGTAATCAGGGGTTGGGGATGGTTCGTTCTTGTTTTGATCTTGCGCTGCAGCTACAGTGCAGATGCTCGACCGTATATTATCTCTCTTACTCCGTAGCACGAATGCCGCATATCCTCAGCTGTTATGTCCAACTATCAACTGTCGACAGAGGCGACCGTTGGGCTCTGGAAGGTTTACGCCGTTGCAAAGAATGGTCTCCATTACAACCAACGTACGACGGCAGCCCTGGAACTCAGACTTGCCGTGCCTTGCCTGAATGGAGGAGCCCGCCCTGCAAGCTATTCCCCCCGATTCACCCATTTCTGTCGCTTCTGCCGAAAACCTAATTGACATTGTTATTTGCCTCTGGTAAATGCACATCTCCATGCTATTTTCCTCCCTCTTGAGCGCGCTTTTGGTGTCGTTGATGCTTCAAACACAAAACACATCGTCGATATCTTTCTTCCATGCCAAGGCGCTTATCGGCACACTTTTCCGATTCGCGACCCAGGGTCTGGTATGCCAAGATGTCCAGATGCCAAGTTTACCTTGTCCCGTTGTCGTTCGCGTGGTCTCCCGTCTCGGCGCCGAGATGATTGACTTCAGGGGAGAACACGTGATTCGTATTCCCGTTGATCGGGTTTAACAGGCTTCAATCACAGTTGAAACCATAGAGATCTAAGTATGTATGTGAGCTTGATTTAAGCAATTTACATCCATGCACACCAACGCTCGACCCATCTGCTTCTCCATATTCTCCATTTACTTTATCTCGGAGGATCGAGATGGTGGAGACTGGTCCGAACCAACATTGCCCTTGAAAACCCCCCAGGAAATGGATGACGGACCCAGTATTCATTCAACAGTGCTGAGATGATCGACTTTGTCGAGATACAGTCGGTCCGAGCAGGTATCTGTTAATGGTGCTTCTTGGAATGCTTTGCCTCCTTCAGTTGGCAAACATGGTGATCGCGACGCAACATTAGGACATTTTCGCCCCTGAAATCTCTGCGACTCATTCTCCTGTAGTTATGAGTTTTGTCGTAAATGTGACAATCGGGGGATTCCTATTTTTCAAGCATAGTGCTTATCGTATATGCCTATTTGAATCTTCGTGTATGCGTGTCTAAACCCTTCCAAAGCCAAAAGACTCACGATAGTAAAGAGAGTGCAGTCCAATAGTTGAGCAATTTCTTACCAAGTACCGCATAGATATGAGCTTTAATCCAGGATAGTAGATTCCTCGTGTTAAAATGATAACTTCCTACAATTTCAAGCACAGCTTTGCGTTCCACAGATAACTGAAGAGGATAATCTTTGCGTAAACGCTTGTGACTCTGTCCAGTATTTGTCTATTGGATCTTTATCGTCTGAGAGACCTTACATTGAAAGGCAAACAAACCTCACAATGTTTTCTTTGAAAAAACAAAACATTGATTTATCATGAAAGCTTGCTCTATTGATTCGAAGGCCAGTTTTGGTACGACTTACACTTCCACCGATCGACATATCATGAGCCGGTCGCTCGAAAACGCACCTTCGATAGATACTTCCACGGGTAGCCCGTTATCTGCAGTTGAAGGACCTTGAATAAAATAAAGTTTAGTATAATCTGAAGTCAATTACTGCAAAGTTCAAGAACTAGTAACCGTTGCGGTCGCAGCAATAGGGATAAGCATCGACAAGAGAAATATCTGTTCAACGCCAACAGCCATCACGCATCTAATCCAAAGCAGTTTAGACACAAACTTGTGGTAACTTGCAAGAAAATATCAATACTCGAGTATGAGTCCCGGGCTTTTATGTTCTTTTGTTCGTTTGAAAATTTGATACTTGAAGTCACGAAATCTAGGTACGGTCTGTCATGATGCGCGGTGCAGCCATTCTCCTAGCTGATGTTACAAAGCTATCCTCTACCAGCCTCACGATAGGTGATCACTCATATCATATGCTATCGTAAAAACTGACGATCTCAAGCTAAGAGCCTTCAAATAGATGCAATAATGTCGCCATTTGTGCTTGAAGTGGAACCGCTACTCGAGTAAGTCCGCTCTAAAGCCGACCTCGATCCAGGAACAAACTCGGTTCGGCGACACGTTATCCCATCTTGGCTTTACCCACCAATCAGCGACTGGACCCTGACGACGCTGCTTCAGGGGGCACGAGTTTAGTTACAGATAGCTGTCCTTTCTAATTGCGGCTGTCAGCGCAACGAAGCGACAACATCGAGAATTCCCAATTCCGTTCACCAACAAATTCTTGGTCGACTTTCGAACGAATCTCCCAAGACCACTGAAGCCGGTTTCAATTGGTTTCCAGTCTTTCGACCGTTATTTCACAGAGGCATGCGGCAATAGGCTCAAACACCTTTGCGCATTTGCTGTCGATCAAGCTGCTCTCGACCATAATTTGCGACGGGACCGATTTCGCGACGTCACAACATCGAAACAGCTTTCCTTGTATATATTCGACCTAGCGGGACTAGAAGACTTTTGCAAAGATGATGAACGGAATGGAAAAGTCGGATTATGACGAGGACAAGTTTGGTCCTAAGGAGGGAAGCTTGGTCAGCGCTTTTGATGCATTCCGTATGTCTCTCATCGCTGCTGCGTTGATGTGAGCTAACTTTTGACAGCCAAATCGAAGCCGCAATACATCCAGCGAACATCGGGAGGTGGGAAATGGACAGTCGCCGTGTCCATCATCTCAATTGTCCTCATCTGGGGCGAACTCGGTCGCTGGTGGCGCGGCGCAGAGTCTCACAACTTCGAAGTCGAGGCTGGTGTTTCGCGAGAGCTTCAGATCAACATGGACATCGTGGTGAAGATGAACTGCGACGATATCCACGTTAATGTCCAGGATGCGTCCGGTGACCATATCCTAGCTGCTAAGCGCCTCAAAGCCGATAGGACACTCTGGAGCCAATGGGTTGACAACAAGGGCATGCACAAGCTCGGGCGGGATAGCCAAGGCCGCGTCAACACTGGCTCTGGATACGACGAGTTGGGATACGAGGATGAGGGTTTCGGCGAGGAGCACGTTCACGATATTGTTGCCCTTGGCAAGAAGAGGGCCAAGTGGGCAAAGACACCCAGGTTCAGGGGCAATGCCGACAGCTGTCGTATCTATGGAAGTTTGGACTTGAACAAGGTGCAGGGTGATTTCCATATTACTGCGCGAGGCCATGGTTATAGGGGCAATGGCGAGCATCTCGATCACAGCAGTAAGTCCGACGGATTGTAGTCCATATCGTGTGCTAACCAGTCACAGAGTTCAACTTCTCGCACATCATTTCGGAGCTTTCATACGGCCCATTCTACCCATCTCTGGTCAATCCCCTCGACGGCACCGTCAACACAGCTCCCGGCAACTTCCACAAGTTTCAATACTACCTCTCTGTTGTGCCTACTGTGTACAGCGTCAACTCAAAGTCCATCCTTACCAACCAATATGCCGTTACCGAGCAGAGCAAGGCGGTCGATGAACGATATATCCCCGGTGTTTTCTTCAAGTACGACATCGAGCCAATCCTTTTGACCGTTCATGAGAGCCGGGACGGTATCATCAGCCTATTGGTCAAGATCATCAACATCATGAGCGGTGTCCTCGTTGCCGGGCACTGGGGGTTCACAATCAGTGATTGGATCCACGAGGTTATCGGTCGGCGACGACGCAGCAACGGTGGTGTTGGTGTGTTGGGAACCAAGGGGGGCTTTGATGAATAGATGGATGGATAAGGAATACAAGCATGTAGCATACAGCGCTGCTGGAGAGCCAAGCAGAAGGAGTTATGGCTTGGGGTTATATACAGCTGATTTATGGAGTTTAGGTTAAAACATGGGAATTCGATTTTAGCATAAGAGAATTGATAACTGATTTGCATAAAGCAGCAGCCAATATTGTTTGCGAATTTGCCAAGAAGGCCAGGTTGACTACCCTGTAAAACACTCGGCGATACCTAATTCGTCTGCTCGTACTTCCTAGTAAGGATGCATATGAAATGTGGCTTAGGGAGCGCAAAGCCAAACGCCTCTTCTCTACAACAAAGAACCAATCCTTTTGTTCTCCATCCCTGGAGTTCAAGTGCTTTTGCCCGATCTCATGAGATGGCCGTATTCAAAACGCCGCCATGCTAATATGGGAAAAGGCAGAAGCATGGAACATTCCAGTCATGAGAACACCACGGAACTACGGAAAAGGCCATCAGACGAAGACCCTTCTCGACGACGGTAGTGCGTGGAATAAGACTGTCAGCATCTGATTGTGCATGTGGTCTTGACAAAGAGAGTCTGGTGACTCAAATCTCAAGAGACCGCGTAATCAATTGACCTTGAAAAGCGGAGCCTGATGACTCTGGAAATGTCTCTCCTGATGATTTGTTCTTTTATTGTTTTCTTTTTTTATAACTGTTAATAATGGGATGGACCTGGGCTGAGGTGAGGTGACTCCCTCCGCCGGCCGGTAACTAAGAACCAAG